GCTTGGTTTGGAAAAAGAAATCAAGCACCCACTCTTTTTTGGCATGAGGAACACCAAAGCAAAAGGAAAAAAAATCACCTTTGGGAACAAGGCAGACAAAGAGCCAATCCACCCTCCCTTGTGTTCAGGGAGACCTCTTCAGCTGATTTCAATGAAAGCAAGATTGATCCCCATTTCACCTGCTAGTCAGCTCTGCAAAGCGCAGTTTGTGAAATAAGCAGCTTACATAACTGTGTATTTTCAGCTCTACATACATAAATGCTTCCTCTATCCTGTATAAGGTATTTTTGGATCTGCTAAAATGCTGCTGTGTTCTTCCAGGGCTTTGCATTCTTCTGCTCAGAAATTGCATAATCTGATGCCATAGAAAATAAGTGATGTTGCATAATGATTCTTATATTCACTGCAGGATTTTGGTACTACACATTTCTGTTGCAACACAGCCCGTGTCTGTATTTCCGAATTGAGGTCCTCAGGTTTTTAGGAAAGGATAATCCACCAGCCACCTGCCTTTGGGGGGTAGGGGTAACAAACCAAGGACCATCTTGTATCACACTGTTACAAGAATTTCACTCCACAAAAATCAGTTTAACTTTGTACGCCGATTTGCTGCTTCTGTTTACCCTCACTCTGGTTGTTCCCATGTCTTGCACTATGTGCATACATTAAACACCAGAAGTTTCATATACAACGTTCTGACATCTAACTGACCACTGATACCCTCCATCACCGGCTCATCAATACTATCGTAAAACATTCAGCTGATACAAAAGACAGACTAAATGCCAATTAGCCTTTTCTACTACTGAATTACTATTGGAATCTGTCTTGGATGAAAATTTAGAAATCACCTTAAGTTACACTCTTCTCTTTCATCTTTCCAACTGTCTTCATAGTATGAAACAACTTGTAAAATCCAGTCACAGACTTCAGGCTCTGCTCTACTCCTTTTCTCTCTTCATCCTTCAGAATTGTTCGGGTTTTTCTTACCTTCTTAAAGATCCATGTCATATTACTAAATTGCACTAACAGATGAAAGGATTTAAATTCAAATATTTTACAACTACAAAACCCAGGAAAAACTCAAAGTTAAGTTCACAAACGCCTTGCAGCTTCTTTGACATTGCCACATGAAGCCATTAACATTCCAGTATTACCAACGAACAGTATCTTGTAATTTCCCCTACTTACAGAACTGAAACATCATATTTTCCTCCAAGGAGTAGTGTAAAGATTAATTAATATCTGAAAGATCTTTGAGGATGAAGATCAATATCAAAGTGCTATTTTCAGGAATCCAGTGAATGAATCAAACTCGCACTTTAATTCATGTGAGGCATCAAACTGGTCTCAGGTAAATTCACTCACACGCTTGTTGTTATTGAATAATTCATATCTACTACAAAAATAACTGCAGAGCATACTTGACATGTAAAGGCTATACACACAAACTCCTCAGCACTAACAGCTCACATGCTTCATCCCCAGTATTAAAGTAACTAAAGAACGATCCAGGAAAGTACAAAAATTACTGGGGTACATGCAACGCTTTGGCCTCTGTCAACTTTACACTAGGTGTCGGCGTGTGTGCACCTGATGGGAAGGGGACACTTGAAATCCAGCTGGCAGATCTCTCAGATGAGAAACGACAGTAGTACTAAGTTGTATTTAGTAAGCACCATAACACTTCCACGAGCAAAGAGGATTACTCCTTGATAGAGAAGCAAGCACAATGACTTGCTCAGGAGCCTCTGCTAAGCCTGTATTACCAACACAGCGTGAGGGGCGAGAGCAACATCCGAGAGGTGTCACCCTATTCTTAGGCCACGAGAGCTTTACGTGATGGTAACGCGATCAAGACAGCGCACACAGCCCACAGTCACGGACTGAAGAGCCACAGCAGACCCCAAGGAAGCCTGGCATGACACGTGCCATCTAACACCCTGCAGAGAACTTCCAAAGCAGCGCTCATCCCCTTGGGTCATCCCTGCTAGATCACTTCTGGGCTACCGGTGATAACCCTACATTTGAGGATCTCCTCAGGCACAAACGGATGGCGAGGTTAGATTTTCTCTGTTTCAGTGGAAAAGTCACAGCTGTGCAGCTGCGTTACTGGTTTTGGCATCCTCCAGAAGGTAACAGAGTAACAGGTTGCGGACAGGAAAGGACAAACATCCCAGGTATGAAGAAAATGTCCACACAGAGAGGCCTCCATTCCTCAAGCCCACTGTGCTGGAAAGGGTCCAGCCTCCCACCCACACCCTGCCAGGACTTTCTCCTTCCTTCCCTTACAGCACCACTCGCGCCGAGCTAGCGACTGCTCCAGAATAAACACCACAAACAGTTACAGGTTCACCAGAGGATTATAAAGCCCACGTGTTTTACACAGAAAAATCTATTCCTCCCCCTGGCCTACACCCAACTGTTGCTAATGCCTTTGAACCCCCTCCAACAACCGACTTCGGTTGAGGCTGTAAACAGGGGAAGAGGACAGAGGTCAAAATGCATGTTGAGTATTTATAGGGGTGGGAGTAAGTACACACAGTGTTTCTGGTCCCGGCCCACCTCCATCTTTCTGCCGCAGCTGCCAACTTGCTATTCTGTCCAAAGTAGTATGTGTTTTAGGTGAAATATTTACTCCCTCTTCCCCAAGAAGCAAGAGTGATTTGCTGTAACATCACAGTAGCCCACAAAAGACTAAAGCCCAGGCACGGGATATATTTGCCAATGAGGGATTTAAAAAAAGAAAATAAAAAAGGTCCCAGAAGCTGACCAGGGCTTGCAGAAGCGCCAAACCCCTAACAGCTTCAGCCTCTTCTGCAGACGCAGAGGTAATATTTGCCTCAGTTGACTCATTTTGATTCAGTTATGCTGAGAAACTTGCTGGAAGTTGTAAAAGCAGTAAGACTGCTGCTGTCTCTCTCCAAACACAGGATCTCAGGTGAGAGCTTGGCTAAAATGATTTATGCACAGCAAGGTTCAGGCGCCTTCCCCTGCCCACCCCGGCCTCAGGGATCAGGGCTGAGGAGGAACCTGCGCTGATTTTCAATCTGCTTATATGACTAATGTCAGACGACTTTTACGTATGAAAGCTTTATTTAAAGATTTTGCCATTTTGAGAAGTCCTACTATCTGAAATCCGCTCCACTGCAGAAAGCCTGGAACAGGTACCAGATATGAACAACTCCAGTCTAATCAGTCACCATCTCATATTTGCTGTAAAAAAGTCATAAGAAAACATGAAATACTATAAAACCTTTCTTATCCTGCCTCTGCTTAGAGCAGAACCGTACTTTAATAGCTACTAATTGTGAAACTGCTTACCTATGAAGAGATTTTCAAATAAATCATTGCTTAATTTTCTGATCCACTGGAGATAAGCCACTTACCAGCTCTTCACGATAGGTGACAAAAGAGGAAGGTTAGAAATGCAACCAGAAAAAAATCCAACCATCCACACATTTTTAAACACAAGTTCACGTATAGCTGAGAAGCGGTAAGAGTGCCGCCTACCATATAGTCTGTGCTAGAAGTTATTTGCTAATTCCAGTCACAGGGGTCAAAATGAATGCCAGCTATAAATTTAACCATCAGGCAGCAGGGGACAAAGACAAATCTGAATGACATGACCATTAGAATCAAAGAATCAGACTGGAGGCCCAAAACACAGGAAATAAAACCAGTGTTAAAGCAAAAACAACAACGAAAAAAAAAAAACCCACAACATCAAAATCTTGATTTATTTTTCACAGCTGAAGTCTGTTACAGAAACAGAGGTTCAAAGGGTTGTCTCTCTCTAGAAACAAAAACCTGCATACATTTGGGGACACGATAAAAAGGATAGTAACAAAAACTTTCAAACCAATGACAACTTTAACCTCCACATTCTAGGATATCCCAAGATGTCTGTCACTGCACGCACAGCAGTTCCTGTGTAAAGTGCCCACATTTGCGAGTCAGACCAGCTGAATCTCTCTCTAATTTCACTCATCCATTTGTTTTTTATTTCAAATATTTTTGTATTTTCTCCCTCAAAACTATCAATCAAAAGACATTCCTTCAGTTTCTTGTATTGAACAGACTGTCCAGTGATAAAATCAGTATATCCAAACACATGGACCTGATGTCATCTTTCTCCAGATCAACTTAAAATACCCAATTTTTCATTTACTTGAGAGAGACATGTGGCTTTTATCATATCATGTGATACAATTAAGCTATTGCAGTATCTAAACCACCTCCCCAAAACAAAAATAAAAAGCAGCTCCACTCATTTCATTGGGAGCAAACATGACATCATGCCCCATTCAGGTAAGCAAGAATATGACAATATTGCCCCAGTGAACAGTATCATTAACTGCAATGGTACTCCCAGCTTCCTCATCTATTATGAAAATGAGGGGTAAAAATCATGTGTTCAGCACAACAGAGACAGCTCAAACTGCTATTTTCAATAATAAAGGAACAAATTCCTAGCGAGCTGATAGAAAGAAAAACACATCTCTTCTTCATCTCACAAATAAAATTAAATTATTTATTACTGTAACACAACAGTAGAATTGTTTGATTAGCCCACAGGGAAAAAAAAACCACTACAATTGCCTAGAAGGCAAAAACCACAATTATTCTTCTTTATATTATCTCTAGTAATTCTTATGTCATTCCCTGTATATTCCATACATAAGCATTCTCCATTGCCATTCCCTTCCCCTTTAAAAGGGGGGCACAAGAAGATAACGTGCAAAATTGCAACTGAAAAATGTCTAGCACACCGATAAGCAAAAGGACAGGCCAGCTATCAGATTTATATGCAGTGATGGATAAATTAAGGTTTCATGTTTCCTCTTCCCTTCTCTCAGCATCATTTTTTCAGCCCTTTCACATCACAAATGCAACATCCATCTGTGCTTCTGAAATAAATGGCGAAAGGGTAACACTGACCATTACACCCACAGACACACACGCTTCAAAAAAAAAGACATGTTCATTTACATACTTACAAGGATTAAGATTTCCTATGTGATGCTCCATTTTCTTGTTTTAAAAAGATGGAAAGCAAAAAAAAAAAAAGGAAGTGTTGCAAAATAAAAGGAAATTCCACCCACACAATCCTGCAGCCTGCTGCAAAGGAGCACAGAAGCGTGCTGACGTCACGGATTCATGAATGGATGTAAATCGGGCTGTTCCGAGATTCGGCTGGGG